ACGACAGAATGATCTCAGTGCGAATCCAAGGCAAACCATTCAACATCACAGTAATCCAAGTTTATGCCCCAACCACTGATTAAGCAAGCTGTACTGGTTGACTTCTTTTATTGCTGTTTTTCCTATAAGCTAGAATTGATTTTTGTGACCTCAGGCATTTGTTACTTGGATGGTTTGCTCTAATTATGTTGGTTTAATTCTTATATGCTGCCCAGAGCCATTGCTATGAGATGGGCAGCCATGTCAATTGTTTTCATAATAAACCAGAAAATAAATATACTGGAGTCTCATGACATACTGAATCATAAAATAAACACAAGGACTGGGTTTGTTGTAGTAATATGAACAATGTACTAAAGGTTCTTCCCTCTCTGTCTCAGTCTCCCAGCAAATCTTTTGCTGTCTATAGAATGCTGGAGAATAAAGGCGGTAAATTTTCAGTCTGTTTTTTTAAAAAAAACTTTTCTGCCACTAACATGCAAAAGTGCCCTTCTCAATAACCTTAAGGTAAGAATAAAATAACGGAAGTTAGCAATGATTTTCTAATAGCATGCCTCAAATGATTGAGGCTTAAAAGTAAGAGCCAGGATTTTAAACTGGGGCTGGAAACTTTTGGGATGTCAGGGCATCTGTAAAAATAAAATAAAACAACAAAACTAAAAACTAAAAAACTAGTGAGTGCAATTGTGATGGCCACTCTCCTTTCCTATATCATATGATAAACATTGCATTTTATGATCTCTTTACAGTTCCCACTTTTACAGCAATCATATAAGCCATTTTGACTGATGTGTTGTATATTGGATACAATGTACAACTTTGCTTTTCAGCACCTCTTTACAATTCCTACCTTTTATCCTGTCATTTCAGAGCAAAGGTTCAAAGGTATAACTTTTGGTCTCCACAGCAGCCAACCAGATACCCACTGAAACTCACAAAGGCAATGTATCCCCCAGTCTGCATTCCTCAGCAACTGGAATTCAGAGGCAAAGGGAAGGATTGAGAGTAACGTTCTGCTCTGAAAAATAACAAGGCAGAATCTAAATTCTCTTTGTAGGTCCATAAACCATAGATATTGCTTTCAAGCCTTCCAATTTGTGGCCAGCACTATTTTGGGGTCATTCCAGAGCTTAATTATGCACAGCATGAAGTGGTATTTACTTTGGTTTGCCCTGATACTCCTATGATTTAATTTTGTCAAATGATTCTGAGTTCTATGACTGGGAAAGAGGAAGATTTTCTTTTTGTTTTTTGTTTGCTTCCTATGCTCTCTCTCCACACCACGCATAATTTTATACAACTCAATAATACCTCAATAATCAATAATCACCATTTCTTCTAAACTAAAAAGCTCCATTGTCATAACATATTCTCAAAGTGAAGTTGCTACAGCTCTTCAATCAGCATCTTTTATGGTTCTATGATGTTTTTTTTTTAAAGTCAAGAACCAGAAAGTACACAGTCTTTCATCTGTAATCATACCAGATTGGCAGATTGCTTTCTGTTCTTTTCCTTGAGATTGTCGATGCCAATCTTTTTCACAGCTGCCAGTGCTAGTTGATGTTTCTTGGATTTATGTAACACAACCCTTTGAAGCATTCCTCATCCAGTTAACACATCTGCACTAAAGCTAAAAATCCCTGGTGACCTATGAGCCTATCCCTAATTGTCTGATGTTACGAAACAAGTTGAAACTAGTTGAAGTAGGGGAGTGGCTAAGTTTGTTTGGGTGGGGCTGGGGAAGTACTACAGTTAGCTAAAAGGCAAGTAAAGGCAACCACTATTTTGAAGGCACACTGTTGTGCAGCTAGCAGAATAGCCTAGAAGAGGTGAAGTCTGTTACAAAATCAAGGACTATGAGCACTGCAGGGAAAGTAAGTAGACTATTCTGATGTTGATTATTCGTTCCTGAGATATACAGCAGCATGGGGTTGTTTGCACTGTGGCTGGCAAATAAAGAATTGTCTGAGGCTGATCCAAAAGTTTTCCTGTGATCCTCCACTCACCCCTGGCACTTTTTTTTTTTTCAATAGCACTCTGATAAACTATTAGTGCATTTAAAACAATCCATAATTCCAAAATTCATTAGGTCCATACCACAGACTAGAGGTGGGTTGGAGATGGGGTTCTATTCAAGAAACATGAATCTCACATGGCCATTTACTTTTGGGGCACTTGGGCACAATCCTGGCTTTTCTTTTTAGAGTAAATCAATTTCATTCCTCTTAAATAAGAAACGTTTCAATGGCTTGGCCAACACATGCAACAGGAAAGAAGTGGAGAAGCTCCAAAATGTTAGCATAGATTATTCTGTGCCATAACTGACTGTAGGGAAAGGGGTTGTTAGAGCAGGAACTTGGCTGGTCAAAACCGGGCACAACAGCAGGAAGGAAGATACATGGGATGCCAGAAGAGTAGGCCTTCCTATAAATGCCTGAGGAATTAATGAATGAATATCTTCTTTTAGAATAAACCATTTCTCGCTTCCATTTTCTTAGGTTATCAAATGCAAAGCAGCAGTAATCTGGGAACCTAAGGAACCATTTAGCATTGTGGAAATAGAAGTAGCTCCACCAAAAGCACATGAAGTTCGCATCAAGGTAAAAGGAATAAAGCAAAACCTATATTAATGCAAATGGTTTTTTTTTATGCACAGTCATCTCAAAGGGAATATGTGGAGCTCTACCACATGGAATGATTTCTTCATTCTTGCAGTGGAGAGGGGGGAGGCTTGGAAGCAAAGAGGGACAGAGAGAGTCCATTAAGAATTGCCTTGGAAACACAGTTCTTCAGGAACTCTACACACAGAATACTGGACACTGTCCATCTGGAAGAGAGACTGACATCCTTTGAAAATCCAAGTCCAAACAGAAAGCTTTTCTAATTTCCCTAAAATACCATCAGGCATGACCAAAAGCTATGATACACTTCATTTATTTAAAGAACAGAACTTGTGCTCTTCCTAGTAACATAGCATCATATGAATCTTCCAATAGAATTCTGCTCATTTTTAGATCACCTTCAGTGCAACCAAATCTAGGATCCAATATGAATATATACATGACAAATGTCTAGATTCATACTCCATAGTCCTTGATTTTTGGGGCAAAGCTTATGCAAGATTTTTAGGCATACAGTATCTGCACCACAGACTTAAAATGATTCCACTATAATTCCCTCTCTCTGCAGACTTGGACTTTTTTAGATTTTTTTTATCCTACCCTTATTATTTTTTTTATAAATAACTCAAGGTGGCAAACATACTATTACTCCTTCCTCCTCCAACCCTATGAGGTGAGTTGGGCTGAGAGAGTGATTGGCTCTCCCAGTCACCCAGCTGGCTGTCATGCCTAAGGTGGGGCTAGAACTCAGTCTCCTGGTTTCTAGCCTGGTGCTTTAATCATAGTGATCCAGCAATATCTAGGATTTTTTTCCCCAGAACCTTGCTAAACAATCATTTTGGGGAATAAGGAAGCCCTGGCAATGGATAGATCTGGTTTCAGGTTTGGGAAAGTCTTGGGCGAGCAGTTGTCAACTTAGTCCCACCCACTGAGGCCACAGCATATGAGGCCACAACACTAGTAAGATGTAGCCTCACAGACTCAGTTTACAAGGTAGAGGAAGTCCAAACACCCTTGCTTATTGTGATACAAACCCAAATCCAGTTGGGAAGATGATGGTGCCATAAAAATTTTACCATCCTGCCTCTAAACGTCTGATGTGGAGCCAATAGAATTAATATGGGTGATCTGGTGGGAGCTGGTGAGTTCAAATGTGTAAGCAGTTACCTGGTGAAAGAAATGGTGTGATCCGCTGCTGCTGCACTATATGCCACATGTTGGCTGATTGGATAGCTAAACCACACAGGCTTGCAAGGGGTGTATTCCTTTATAGTTGCAGATCCATATTGTCATGCTAGGGAGGATATACCCTGGAGCCTGTTTCATATGTGGAGCACTATGTGGACAGTGTTATTCCCAGGGAAATAGGTGCTGTGTTTCAAAGCACAAACCAGTTCATAACATAAGTGCCAGATAGTGCAGATCTGCAGAAAAATAAAGTTAATGTCTCACTTTCAGGCTAGCAGGCTCTTCTTCTCCCCCACCCCCTACCATTTGCACTCAGACACCAAAGACTACAAATTTCCTTTGACACTACCTATTCTTTAGTGAATGTCACACCAAATCTAATCAAAGGACCAGATCAAATAACTTTCATAATCTTTTCTAAGAGGTTTAACAATATAGATAGAAAATCCCATGCCTTCTAGCGTGCAGTTTCTCCTAGCAGCTTCCCCAAAGTGAAGCAGCGACTACTTCCATTTCGAAACACATTATGCTCAATAATGCAGGGAAAACACAGTGGAAATGGATTTTTGAATGGAAAAAAAGCATCAGGAGAGTGGACTGAAGTTTGCATCAGGTGTTTTATGAGTGAGGCTGTGGTCACACTGATGCAATATACAGTAACAGATCTGCCCTTAAAATTATTTTAATATGCTATAGAATCACAGAATTGAGAGGGGCCATTATGGAACTCAAATCCAATTCCTGAATCGGGAAAAAATCCAAATCAAAGTGTGCTTGACAAATGGTCTAGCCTCTGTTAGGACACATCAAGCAGACGAGGGCTTGCCATCTCTCTAGATATTCATTCTACTAACAAACTGTTGTTTTTCTTGACATTCAGTATGCCTTCTTGTAACTTAAATTCATTCTTTTGTGTCCTGCATTCTATGGTGATAGAGAACAGGCCTTGTCTTTTGTGTAATATCTTTTCGATTATTTGAAAAGTGCTATTATAAGTCCCCCTGGGTCTCCTTTTCTCAAAGTTAAACGTTTCTAGTTCCCTTGACTTCTCTTCATAGGATTTGGTTCATTATTCCTTTGCCATCCACACTGATCCATTTTAATTAGGAAACACTGATGAGCACCCTTTGAGTATGATTTTTAAGCCAGTTATGTATTTATTTGCCATGTCACCTGGTATCTCCTCAACTAGCTTATCAGTGGACCTTCTTGAAGGCAGAAACTCTTAGCAGATAATACAGCAACTGGAATATGAACTGATGCCAATTATTGAGAAAATATTTTGTCCTTATTCAAAGACTCAACTTGCTAGGCTACTTGCAATGTCTTAAATAGCTTGGACCTCAGCCACTTCTTAAATAATGACTACTACAAGATCTGCCTGGTCCTATATTGTAGACACCTGCTGATGTCCTCTTCCAGGTGTCTCTGTTGTGTGAGTTGATATACATGTGACAGGATATTTATGTGTCATATCCCTGGAAATTTGTCACCAAGGAGGCTCACCTAGGCTGATCATCATTTTTCATGCTAGTCAAAGGTGCCGAGTAAGGATAATTTTTGAAAAAATTATTCCACTTTTTAAAATGAATGACGTTTTAGAAGTGATTCTTGTAATATTTAAATACTTTCAATAATTGCTTTTTAACTTTTTAATTGGTTTTTAATTTTGACTGCATTTTTCTATTGGAATGTTGTTGATTTTAATAAATGTATTTATAGCTCTGCCTGAAAATTGAGGTTCAGGGATAGTACAGAGAAATCACATACTATAATGTGAAGCCTAAAATAATCTACTCCAGTGAGTCATATTCTGCCTTTATTCTAGATTTTGGCTTCTGGAATTTGTCGTTCAGACGATCACGTTCTAAATGGCGCATTAAAGTCAAAGTTCCCTATTATTCTTGGTCATGAAGCAGTTGGTGTTGTTGAGAGTGTTGGGGAAGGTGTTACCAGTATGAAACCAGGTATGGAAATTCAGAGGTAGAAGTGCAAAACTTCTCAGTAAGGGTAAAATCAGTAGGGTAGCCAACCACCAGAAATTAAAAATGATGTAGGAGTTTTAAGTTCAGAAAGTCAGGAGTTTGTGCAACTGGAATTCTGAATAAAAACACTAGAAATTGGTTAGTTGGTGGTAGGGAGACTCCACACCACAATAACTTCCCTACATTAAACTACAAGCATTATTGTTCTTTCCAGAACTAACTAGAAAGAACATTTGCTATTAATTCAGCTCCTATGAGAAGCTACTAAACATTAACCCTGTGTCTATCACATGCTCATAACTTGCATTGTTTAAATACCAAAATCTGAAGGTAGCAAACTTAAACTGGAAGTCAACTGATTTTTTTGCTGGTGAATCCTGCCAACGATTGTGGTACTAACCTATCTGGAAACTTCAGGCCTGTTGATAGTGATCTTTTTCTAATTCTCAGGAGACAAAGTCATCCCAATTTTTATCCCCCAATGTGGCAAATGCAGCACTTGTTTGCATCCTACAGGCAACCTATGCAAGAAGCATGAGTGAGTTTGTTCTTACTTGTAGCACTACTGTAATCTTTCTTGTCTTGCATGAAAACCATGATCAATAACTCCAATTTCCCCTCCCATATTTTTAAGCCTTCACTCAGGGACTGGATTAATGGAAGATGGCACCAGTAGGTTCACGTACAAAGGAAAACCACTGTACAACTTTGTCAGTACCAGCACTTTCACAGAATACACTGTGATACATGAGGATTCGGTTGCCAAAATTGATGCTGCAGCTCCTCCTGAGAAAGTGTGTCTTATTGGCTGTGGATTTTCTACCGGCTATGGAAGTGCCATAAATGCTGCAAAGGTAAGCATCACCTGCATATGTTCTGATATATCCATGTTCTTGGACATGTCACTTATGAAACTATAATGCCATAACGCTGCTCATGATGGTTTGATTTCATTTAATTCCATGATGGAATTAGGTATTTTTAGAAAATACAAGTGTTGGTGGCTATACACCAGTGTTTGGTTTAAAAGTGTATACATCTGCCAGGATTTTAAAAAGGAGAAAGTTGAAAGGTCGTAGAGATCATTTTGGGGAGATTAGAGGTATTGATGGAAAACAATTTCTTCAGTTAGCCTTGTGGAAATAGATATTTGTGACTGGTCACATGTCCTATAGCAGCCATTCTAGGAATGTACAATTCTGTCCATGGTATCCCTTTTGTGATAACACCCATGAGATGCTCCTAAAATTCCAAGTCTGTCTTTGGACCCAAAGAGGTTCATTAACACTGCACTGAAGTTAGTACATAACCATAATGCTCTGTTTTTATTTTTATGCTAACAAAGGTGCAACCTGGTTCTACCTGTGCCATTTTTGGCCTTGGAGGAGTTGGTCTCTCAGTAGTCATGGGCTGTAAGGCAGCTGGAGCTTCCCGCATCATTGGAGTTGACATCAACAAGGATAAATTCCCCAAGGCTAAAGAAATTGGAGCCACAGAGTGTATCAACCCCTTGGATTTCAAGAAGCCCATCAATGAAGTGCTCTTTGACTTGACCGGGGGTGAAGGAGTAGACTATTCCTTTGAAGTGATTGGGCACCCTGAAACCATGGTATGTGCATGAAGGTAGTATTACAGTGGAAGAGCTAAGAGGGCATGAGGGAAAGACCTATTTTTTACTAAAAGCCAAACTTTCTTTGGGGGTTATTCCATTGCAGTAAGGACTGTAGGGTATTAAAGAACAAAATGCACCAGGGATTTAATCTGGGGACTCCAGAAATAGGGCCTGGTTACTCTATTTTTATGTCAATGGGTGGTTGCAGGGAAAAGAAACAGCTTGCTGTACTTCTGCATCCCATTACAGATGGCCACAGCATGTTCTGCAGCTTTCAATTTGGTAAAGGGGTCACGTGAATAGGAGACCCAGTTTGGTTTAGTGGTTAAGGCACCAGAGCAAACACAGGAGACTGTGAGTTCATACCTTAGGCATGAAGCCAGCTGAGTGACCTTGGGCCAGTCACTCTCTCTCAGCCGTAAGAAAAAGGCAATGGCAAACCACTTTGGAAAACCTTGCCATGAAAACTGCAGGGGTTGTCCGGCCAGTCACCAGGAATCAAAACTAACTTGAAGTTAGTGCACACACACACACATACACACATGACTAGACAAACCAGTAGGATCTCGTTTTATGTTATACAAAGCTTGTCTTTATTCTTTAGAGATTTTGTCTGATTCGGCATTTAGCAAAAGGGTTGACAGATTTTGTTTACATGTGCCAAGTCATCTGCAACATCGTACATGTTGATGTTGCTGAACCCAGCAGTTTTTTTTTTTAATTTAAAAAAAAAATTAAATCTTGTGAGATCATCAAATTCTCACCTGAGATCTCAGGGTGAGATCACCAAAATTTTGCAAGATTTTAATGATTTCATGAAATTTTAGCTTTGGGGGGTGAATTACTGCTGGCACTTTTAATGTTCTAGGACAAAATAAAGTAAGTAAAGTTAGCAAGAGGTCTTAGAAGGATTCTAAGGGAATAGATCCTTTTCATGGAAATGACCAAGAATTTTCTTGTTCCATCCATTAGTCAAGAGAGGAGTGGATGTAAGTCAAATTAACTCAAAGAAGTTCACAAATGGGAAGTTTCACATCCCTGCCACCACACTCAGCATTTGGCTGTTAAAAGAGGATGGAAAATTTTCCTTCTGTGGATTACTTTATAATAACCTATAATAGGATGGTGTTGCCACCACAGACCATTTGAGGAGATGTTATTGACACGTTTGGGACAATAAAATCCTAAGAGAAAGATCAATGAAAGAAGAATTGTGGTGGGTGTGCCAGATGTTGTCTTTGACTTGATTCAAGTATATGACTTTGGATTGACTTCAGCTGGCTGCTTTGGCTTCCTGCCAAATAAACTATGGAAAATGCTACATTGTGGGAGTGCCTCCTACGGAGTCTAAGATTACTTTTTCTCCAGCACTTCTCTTCTCAGGCCGCACTTGGAAAGGAATTCTATTTGGAGGTAAGTCCCTGCTGCAAACTGTATATTAATTGGCTACTAATATATTCTGTCTCTCTCTCTTGTACCCTACATTATGGAAAGCTCAATATTACCAGTATAATATGACCCGTTGTGGTAGATAGGTGATGGGGATCAAGAGCAACTTAGCTTACAAATTGTCAATGATCTCAACACCAGTGCAGTGTATCCTGTGTGTCATCTTTCCCCAATCACTTACTCTTCAATTTCTGTCATCCCCAAGTCTATGGTCACATTTGAAGCAATGGTAGTTGTATTTCAACATAGCTAGAGAGCACCAGATGAGAAAGATGCTCACCCATACATTGCATCTAATGTTCTGTCATCAGTTATATTGGATCTAGATATTGTGATTTGTTTTGAACCTTTTGTTTGCAATCACTGGAATCTTGACTGACTCCTATTGCTTAAAAGTAATAATATGGTTTCCTATCATTTTGAGGCAAGAGACACACAAAAGCTGTAAAATAGATTCAACATGCTTTAAGAAATAAATACAATTATTAAACTTTCTCCCCACCCCAAAATAAATCTGGAGGGAAAAAATTAAAATCCCATCTATGTGAACCTATATTACACATCCCATCCATTATTCATTACTGACCTACCACAGCAATCTCACCTCATCCCAAAATGTTAGGTGTAGCATCTTGCTGCCAAAAGATTGTCCCACTCTTTACTTTATCTTCTGTCACTGATCATAGAATCAGATGTAGTTCTGCTATTACCCGCAAGCCCAATTGCTCCTCAGGAAATGTTAAAGGACAGCTGTTGTCATTTCTCTTACACATTCACTGCACAGCTGGAGGACACCCAACAACCATTTGACTGCTGCTTCCCCTGAAACTAGTTATTAAAAAGGACCACCAAAGTCCAAATGCAATAGCAAATTCTGAAAATGATTATGTTCAAATAAAACAGGATTCAGAAACTTTACCAGAATTTCAGTATGTCTTGATATGAATTGGAATATTTGACTGCTTCAATGGTGTTTTTTAAAACTTAAAAGCAGCAGTAGCTGGAGAAGAACATATTAAATCAAGTAGAGGAGTTGCTGGAAGAAGTGTTTAAACACTTCACAGTAGAATTTTCCTGATTTTCTAATGTTGCCATCTTTCAAGATATTATTGCCGCAGGGAAAAAAATATTAATCCTGTTATATTTTTTTTTAAATCTTCCTGAGAAGGTAACACTAGTTGCAGAGGGAATGGGTGTTGAGTCTGGGGAAACAACCCAATTGCCCCTCCTGTAGGTTTAATTTCTTTTTCAACATTCAGAGCTCCAATGATTCATCTCCTGCATTGTATAAATGCGAATTGTACTGAGAGGCAGAGAGATATCCATAAGTAATAGAATTAGAGTTGTCAAACTCTGTATGCAACCACACTGTTGGTCTAGTGGTACTTCTATTTACTTATTTATATCAGCCTTCCCCAATTTGATATCCTCCAGATAGGCTACACTAATTCCAACATTTCTCATACAATGTGGCCTTTAAAGTCCAACACTCATGGAGGGCACCAGGTTAAAGAAGGTTTATTTACAATGATGGCCTAGTAATCTTTACAAAGGACAGATATGGTAATACTGTAGGTCCCCTAATACTTTCCTCAGTGCATGGAAACAAATCTTGAGGCAAAGGCTCCATAATGGGCTAGCCTCTTCCTCCTTGCCCTCTGAGGGCTAGGATTTCAACGATGGGACATAGGTAGGACCATCAAAATTTGAACAGGGAGTCCAGAGATTTTCCAATGCAGAAAATGTCTGTAATTTATATAGCAAATTCCTCAGTTGACAGTAAACTCTCAACTCTGGGAACAGCAGATCAACTGATATTATATGACATCCAGTCCAATCTTGTTAAGAGTCATTACGTCAAGAAAAGCTATAGAAGTGTTTTCCCTTAACGGCCTTGTAAAATTTATGCAATATCTTTAACTATGTATTTTGTTACTTTCAGAATGGAAAAGTAAAGATTCTGTTCCTAAGCTGGTTTCGGATTTCATGAAGAAAAAGTTTACCCTAGATCCATTAATTACTCACAATTTACCTTTTGATAAAATCAATGAAGGCTTTGATTTGCTTCACTCAGGAAAATGGTAAACTTTCCTTTTTTAAAAATAATTTTTGTTCTCCCAGCTTAAAATGAACAAGTATGGACCAGAAGATGATGAACTACATTGAGTGCTTCCATTACATAATTAAAAGACAAAATCCATAATGAGGAATTACTTCTATTTTGCCAACAGAAGCTTTGCAAAATAGCTACATGCTTTGAGTTTCAGGCAAGATGACTAAACCCCAGAAAGAAGAAAACTCTGGGACTGGGAGTAAAATATATTGCTATTCCTAACCTAGAGAGAGACAGTTTGGTGTAGTGGTTAAGGCATCAGGCTAGAAACCAGGACATTGTGAGTTCTACAGTAGTGTCACTTTAGCCACAAAGCTAGCTGGGTGACCTTGGGCCAGTCCCTCTCTCTCAGCCCTAGGAAGCAGGCAATGGCAAACTATTTCAAAAATCTTGCCGAGAAAACCGCAGAGACTTGTCTAGGCAATCACCAGGAGTCAAGATTGCCTCAAAGGCACTAAATAAAATAAAATTAAAATTCCTAAATTGTGTTTGCAGCAAACTATATTCTTAGATGGACTGAAGACATCACCAGATATGGCAATAATATGGTAGAAGCACCAGTAAAAACAAACTGACCTTTAAGACTTTTAGAGCAGCTAAAACTAATTAGGTAGTCCTACTTTGCTGAGTTAGATTGCACCAAGCACTTTTCCAACTGTTTGCTAGGAATTAAAAACCAGAAGATGATGTTTGGACTTCCATTAATCTCCTGAAGGATTCCTAAACATTTAAGTTACAGAGTAGGATGGGATACATTTCTTGGGAATGCTTACAGAGTTTTCAATGTTTTTATCAATCCTACCCTATTCCCAAAAATCTTGAGGAGACATGGACCAACAGCAGTTATATAAGCCAGAAGAGATGCCTGTAATGTACACAGAAACTTTTGCTGTTGTTGTTTTTGAAGGGGGATAAAACATGAATTTAACCATAAGTCTACTTTTTTGTAAAACAGCCCAACAGCAATGTCTGCATTCTAATTTAGAATGTTGCATGATTTACAAATAGAGACAAAGTTGGAAAGAGCATACGGGGGGAGGTAGGATTAAAAACTAGCTAAAAGTCTGGGGGGGAAATACACTGTAATAAAATACTTATAAAGCAAATACAGTAGTCATAAAGCAAATACAGTAGTCATTCACAAAGAAGCCAGAACAGGTTTGGTCAATCCCTTTAGACAGAAAATGAATAGAAACTGAAATTGATGTCATTTTAATTAATGTTGTGAATAGTTTATCTGGATTTTCCTCTTTGCAGTACATAGATCTTGATAGTCAGGTTCTTGTGACTGCAATAATACATAAGCAGAACTGAACTGTGTGCTTTCCTCCCCCCCCCCTTTTTTTTAAATAAGCTTTATCTTTTCAGGAATTTGTATCATTCCTTAAAGGCTGGGGTTTCTTTTTTGTTCCTCTTGAAATTATGTACACTATTTGGTTATTTTCTATTGCTATGGCTGGAATAGCAATGGAATGCATGCAACACAGATTTTACTTGCATTATTCAACTGAATATTCACCCAAGTTTGAATAAAGTGTCTCCCTGCATCACAGTAAATTGGGGTTAAAAATCTAAAAACACCAGTTTACTCCTCACTTCATCTTCAGTGTTAACAGAAATTGGAGAAAATACTACTAACTTTACTTTCTTGTGCAGGTGGGATACATGTAAAAAAAGGGGGATCGTGTGGTTGCAGCTGCATCTTGAATTTTTAACTCCTCTCCAGACACCCCCATTTCTTGTAGAAGCTAGATTAAGGCTAAAGTTTTCAAATGTTTTAGCCAATTTATGCCGAAAATTTTAATTCTGTTGCAGCTATTGCCATTTTTAATTGTATTTGTATATTTTAATATATAAACTATTCTGAGAACTTTGGCTAAAGATTGCAGATCAATGAATAAATTGCAGATTGCAGATCACTAATGAACAAAGGCAGCAATAAGGTAGTAATAAACTGAAATCAATGCTGATACT